CAGGGAGGTTAAAAGGGGGCGCCTCTCGCTCGATCCATCCTCCTAGAATTGGACCTTCACCGCGCTGCCACTGCGCTCCCAACCAGTGTTGCCAGGTTAGGAGTTTTTCCCCTCAATGCAGGTTGGGTTTACTTTCTAGCTGCGGGGCAGAGAAAACGTTGTGTAATGCTGCGTGAAAAACGTCGATTTTTGGCAGAAAAACTGTCATTACAGGCCCCTGGTAACGAAAAAGTGGATAAATCTAGTTTGCAAAATTTAAAAAAAATTATATCATGTGGTATTGTCAGAATTCATGTTTTGTGTATCCTTCATACCGAAATATTGAATGAAGACAAAACGTCTGTCCGTCTGTGAACAACAGACTGCTAGCAGCTAAACCTTAGAGCAGATATTTTTCCAAATTTGATGTTTCCCAATCAATTTGTCTGATGTGGCGATCTCTGGAATTTTAAACCGATATTTCAATTTTGGAGGTAATTTACATGACACCCCTGGAACTCTTTCCAAATTTGCAAAAAAGAAGACCACATTTTTGATTAAATTTTGTTGTTCAATAGTGTAATGGATGTTTAAGAGAATGATGCAGATCTCATGATCTTTAAAATTTTAAAGATTTTTTCCTTATTAACATTTGTTCCTTTAAGATAGATTTTGAAATAAGGGCAGGTATTATTTTTCGAAACTTTTATTGTTTTTGCGTAATTTTTTGTGCAAATATGGACGAGACAGTACGTGCCGTTGCACTTGTTTTGGTCTTTAGTGTATGTTTTAGGGGGCATATTTATTTGAGGGTTTTCGTTGAGTTTTTCAAAATTTTAACTTCATTGACTAGATAATTTTGCTTTCAATATTACGTAAATTTGTATGTTATTTGTGGGATTGCTCTACATTAGATATTTTCATTTCTTAAGCAATGACCAAAGTTAGTTCTGAAATGAAGAGTCATAATTAATTCAGCTTTCCGATTCTTTGTCAGTTGTACGTGTGATTCCGTAGAATTAGCTCAGTTTTAGACCTATTATCTTCCTACTGCACGTAACCGATATGCTCCTGTCGATACAAAACGGAAAACCCGTTCTTTTTGCTGAGCATACGAATATGATCTGCAACAGCAAATAGTACAATATCAAATGTTCCAAATTGGTTTCGCAATACAAATTAATATCAGCACAAGTGAGCCACCAGGCAGAGCAATTACTGCCCTAATCCCTCGTCCCCCTCCTCTCGCTCAGAAGCCTCCTCTTCCAGCTCCACCTCCACATCTCTTCCCTTCGATTCACGACTAATACTCGCCACTGCAAAAACTGATCTCAACGAACGGCACCGCCACAACTATTCCATTATTTTTACTTCATTGCAAACCCACAACGGCACATTACTTTCCAATCTCCTGTTCCACGATACGTCTTTTGTTCACGAATATTAAATGACTTATTTTCATTCAAATAAGATTTGAAGAAGCTAACAATATATATTACCTAGTGTTATTGATATAATCTATGTATGTCTATTGCTGAAGTTAAGCTGTCCTATTAAGTCCAGGTACACTTGTATCTCACGGTCCTAAATGTTTTAAACGTGCATAGACGGAATTTTGACTTTCTTCCCGAAATCTTAACTTTCCAGGAAGAGTTGTTGTGCGAGATGTTTCTTTAGGAAAAGGAACAATTTCAAGTTGTACGCCGGGCTCTTCTCAATGCCTTTGTGAAACTCTTGTGAAGCTCTTTGGCGACGACATTTCCTAAATGGCCATGGGCCAAGCAACTGTGTTACTATGCGACGCCAATTTATTCGACTTTTTGTCAGTTCTTCGAAGTTCATTACAGAGCATACACTTATTACCACTCTTGTCTTTGCCGTGAACGTAGGTACAATCTCCAGACAATTCACTGTAACCCTTTCTGTCAACTCACAATGTGCCGATTAGCAAGAATCATTGCTTTATATCTTCTGTTGGGTTCATATTTTAGCACTGACAACTACGAAGAAGCTTGAAGTATCGACTTTTACGTTTGGCGGATTTTGTATCGGGGCAGTTTTCATGAAGACACTTCAATCGGACAGTAATCTCATTTAAGCAGCGCAAATAGAGGCGATCGGAAGAGGGACCCAAGCCTCTGGTGATGTGAGTGACATCATTTGCTGACATCAATTCATCTCCACTTTGTTGCGTTTACCGATGGAAACTGTCTCTCTCGTTTTTACTATCTTGCTACAGAGTAGAAAAAAGGTTAGGTATGTAATGCAGCGCGAAAAAACTGCGAATTGTCAGCCGAAAAAATTGAATGACAGCAAAACGTCTGTCTGTCTGTCTGTCTGTGAACAACGCTAGCGACTTAACCGTTCTTCCGATTTTCTCTAAAATTGACATTTCTTAATCTATTTGGCTGCTGTCGCGGTCCCTTGAATTTGTAACCGATATTTTTATTTTATGGTGCACTTTATATGAAGACCGTGGAGCATTTTCAATCTTTTCAAAAAATCGCTTAATCTTTTTCCATTAAATGTTGTTATTGGATAGTGTGAAGGACGTTAGAAGAGAATGCTTAACGTATCATATTTGTTAAATTTGGATTTTTCAAAAACTCCAGAAGTTAATTTTTGTTCGGAATCTTCCTACAGCTAAATAATCGAAGGTAGAGGTTTTTATCATGATTAAATTTGTTACTTAACGATAGATTTTGAAATAAGAATGTGTACAGTTTTCCGAAAATTTGAGTACTTTTCGCGTAACTTTACGTGAAAATACGGGAAAAAAGTTACGTGCTATTTTAGTACCTTTAGTTACTTTTATTTGCAGTGGAATATGCCCCTCCGCCAAACACAACTACATTGCTCGAATGCAAATGTGCAAATATTTTGAAAATTACATAATGTTCACCCGCTCTCTGAGCGCATCTAAAATACGCATATTATGACAGATAATTAGAACAGGATATATTATAATAAAAGTTATTAGCAGTATTTTAATAGAAGTTTCGAAATACTTGATGTTGTTGCCTTCCGAATCAAAGGAAAGGACAGCGCGTACACCTTTTCTACAGGGAAATAGGATCACATGTCCCCAGTGCCCCTGTCGCTGGCACTACCATCATTTCCCTCCGGACTCCCTTCTGCCGCAGCAGCTAAATTCGGAATCCGATTCCAAATCCCTTCGCCTCCCCGCGGACGAGAACTCGCCCGTCGAAACCGCACGCGGATATGAAAGCTGTTTCCCTGCCTCGGGACTGCAGACGCGGGTGCGTGCCACGTGCGTGTTAAAGGTTCATAAGAACAGGTGTTTCATTAGTAAGCCCGTAATAACACCTGAATATGCCCGCTGTTCAGCTGTAGTGTAGCGTAAATTAATAACCATTTTGATACAAGCGTCAACGATTGCTTCTGATCAGAAGTACGTAAAGCATAAATGAATTTGATTCCCCGATCGTGTTATTATAAACTGAGATCTTTTCATATTTCAATAGAAGTGTCAGCTATTATTTTTTGTCATAATTCCACAAATTATTGTTTAAAGGGAATCATTCCTTTGAAGTCTTCAAAACGTTGCAATTAATACAAAATAGAAGTATATATTTTTAATGATTTGAAAGCTGGAAAATTTGATGATAAATGATTTTTTTAAATATTTGAGAAGGAAAATGTGAAGTTGACGAAGGCAGACTCTCATGAGCATATAGTTTTCGGACAATTGTGGAATCTACCGAGCATCTGATTAAAAATGTTTTCCGTACTGGTTAAATAAATTTTCAATCTTCTAATTGGCTATGTGGATAAAAACATTTCCCTCCAGAAATGAGGATGTGGATCCTGCATATTTACAGATAAGGCGCACGTTGTCTGATGAAAATTAAAAATATTTTTAAATAGACATTGTCTCTGTGATGTTCAAGCCATGCACTTTCCTGTTGGTTATTATAAATCTCCTTGAAACACCTAGGGTAGCATTCCAGAATCTACAGTTGCAATAGGAATCCCTGTTCTTTTACTAAAAACTCTTCATGCGTCAAGTTTGGGCAATTAAAATAATCTTGTATGTGAAATACTTACTGGATATGAAAAAACCAATCTGTATCGATAGGAAGAATTCCCATTCTACCCGCTGATTTGCCATTTCAATTTAAGAGACTACAGTTCCCATTGAAAGCTAATTAGAGAGGAAAATAAATAAATCACAAAAGCAAGCTTAAAAGGTAGTGGAAATTAATCTCAACAGGCAGTGTTTTGTACACGGACAAATAAATACTATAGCCTGCTCGAGAGTATTAGTGATACAGGACTAAGAGCTGTTAATTTAGTTTACAAGAAAAAAGCCAAGCCATACGTATTAATAAATGTTTTATTACTTAATTACTTTCTCTCATACGTACGTATATTCGGAGTATAAAGAAAGTTTTGTAATGCTGCGGAATGTCGATTTCGAGATTTCAACGGAAATACACGTTTTAGAGTCCTCTGATGCCAAAAAAGTGTTGTTTAAAAAAACCGTTCGTGTGTTTGTCCCTCCTTCCGTCCGGCTGTGAACACCACTAGCACCTACACCATACGTAGGATTTTTTCCAAAATGGACCTTCCTCGGTTGATTTGGCTTGACTCCAAGCTTTGCGATTTTAAAAAATATTCTTTCAACTTTGGGGGTACTTTACATGAAGCTCCAGGGATATTTTCAAATATTTCTGCAAAATGGCTCCAGATTTATTACATCATTGTTTCATAATTTGGCTAATTTGGCCAACAGCGTGTACCGACTCAGTACTTCGGTCCGAAGGGTCTCGGATTCCAGTGCCGCCTTGGGCTTGTTTATTTGTTCTTTGTCTCTGATGTATGTTTCGTCGCGAAGTGCCTCGCGTTCTGCTGACCCCAGATCAGGGGAGCCCGCAAGTGTGTTGGCGTCTAGTGTGTGGTCAAATATGCGTCCCGTCGGGACGTAAAGGGTAGCCGGCTGGAAAAAGTTCTAAGAAAAAATAAAAAAAAACATGCTTGGTGTGCATTTAGAGCAGCAGATGTTTTCGAAGGGACAGGGCGCCGCCCTTTCTGTCCGGGGCTCTTTCGGGGAGGAGGCGCAGAGCGACGACAGCGCCTCCCGTGGTGAAGCTGACAGAACTGCTGCTGCCCCCTGGTGTTGTAGCTCAAAGCTGCCACTGGGCAAGGCACCGCGGGTTCGATTGACGTTTAATTGAAAATTCAAAGATAATTTATTTTAAAGGACGCGTCATTTTAAATATTTACTTTCGTCATCAAAATGTTCGTTATGATTAATTAACTTCAACAAATTACAGCGAGTAATAAACTCCAAACGACACAGTATCTGTCCACGAAAATTGATGTTTAATACACCGCGCATGCAGGGAATTGTTCACATTTGACGCCGTAAATGGTGCGGAAAACCTCAAATGCTTGCGTCCGCAAATTTTGTAGAAGAACGTTTTAAAAATTAAAGCGCTTCATTTAAAGTTGATTCGCAAAGGTGTTTCGACACTAAAACACACATTTTCCATTAGAAAGTCATACAATACTGCACGTTACATTCCAATACGTTACATAAGGAATTAACGAATTTAAAAAAGTTTGTAACATTGCAAATTACAATATTTCAACGAAGAGCAGAGCAATCTATGCCTCTAAGTTGCGTAACGTTAGTGCTGCTATACCAGCACGTACATTCTAATGATTTGTAACGTTTTCGTAATATCATTGGAACGTGTATCATACTAATACTTCAGCCTCATCCATAAAAACTCGTCACCAAAGGCAGCCCGGAGATATGAAACAAAAACCAGGTATCTTGTATATTTAAAAATTTTAAGTTTTAAGGGTAACACTTGTGTTATAAAATTTATTAAATGGCACTCTTATGATTCCAAAAGATTTAAGGGCAAATTTTGCACCGATTTTTATAAAAACATTTATGAATATATGAAGTCTCCGCCAGGGGCTGTGCTGGCGCTAGGCATGGGCAGAGCGGGCGATCGCCCGGGCCCCGCAAGTCAGGGGGGCTCCCAACCCCAATCCCAATCATTCAGTATGTAATGCTTTGATGTTATTTGTCCAATAATGCTGGAATTACTAGATCTCACGGACTACGACATGTTCGCGGAAATGTTATAAGAAGAGTGGAGAGGGAAAATAGAATTTTCGATTGTGATGGCTAGACATCTTCAAATCAATGGTGCTCGGTGGAACTGATGGGGAAAAGTTAGTAAAAAATTAAAAAGAAATTGGAACTCGAAAATATTGTTATCGTAATTTTATATTCGCGGTACTCTAGTTTGATATTTCATAAAATTTTCAATTATTTTAAATCGTACATAGTTAATTATAGTAGTTATTACTTATAAGGTAGGTCTTTATCAGATATATTAATACACATTTTTATAAACGTGTACCTATTCTACAGATATTGGCCATGCATTTTTATTGAAGTTTATGACTGAATTTCTCAAATTGTAGATAGTGGATAATAATAAACAAATTGGAAATGTGAAGGAAGCAAATAACTCATTTAGTTTCTTGGCACAACTTTAAAATTTCAATTATTTTTTTTGGGGTGGGGGAGTGGAAATGTAACGGAGTTTTCGTTTTGCCCAATCAAATTTCGGCCTCTATCCGTTGAAAGTGATTGTGAAAGTATGAAGGTGGGTGCAGGTTTTTTCAAAAGCAAGAATTTTATCGTAATTTGTTTCTGAGAAAGCTTGCTTTTAGGCAATCGGTAACGACTGCAAAGAACGGTTATATCAAACCGCGCCCGAATCCTTTCTACATTCACCCGGTTCTGAATTTCGGAATCTGCAGACTAACTCTGGAATGTGCAGACGGCGAAAGGGTGTCTTTTCCTGGAACGTCGTTAGCTGGCGCCGAAAGCGGCTGCAGTGGGGGTGGGGCGGGGGTGGGGGCGATGAAACGGGGCTTTTCTGGCGCTGGTATATCTCGCGGCGTGAATCAAAGTACCGACTACAATAACCTCCCTCCTGGTTCAACTTCAGAAGGTACGGGCTGTATCGTCATTATAAACATGGACGTAGCTTCTCTTATCATTGTGGCTTACAGAAAAGAACACTCTGAGGAATGCCTTGGAAGAATACTCTATAATCTCAATACTAAAATAAAATGGTAAAGACAGTAATACACAAAATAATTCCTTTGTCACACAAAATAAAATAAACATTCACAAAATACCCTTGGAAAACATTCACAAAAATAAGCCTCCAATTTACGTGAAACTCGTATGTCTGTGTGAAACTCACAGCCAACAGAAATACATTTTTGTTTCTTCCCTTCTTTTACTAACTTAAAATTTATAGTTTGTTGCAATTATTAATTCTATTAGAATCAATTTTCTAGATAATCTCTCAAACGGTTTTATCCTACAACTGACACTCAATCATTAAACCAAAAATCTTATACACTTGTACATTGCTGTTCACAAAAAAAATCTGATAAATTCTTCATACATCTGATAAATTCTTGTAGACACAATTCAGTCCACATAACCTCTTTCATTACTCATTCAAATCTAATCTTAACTTCTCCAAATTATTTACATTTACAAAGATGCTCAGTTATTAGTTTCCTTACAAAGAATGATGGATTCAATACAACGTAGTTCAAGGCACTACTCTTTACTTTAAATGAAACAAAAAATAATGTCAGCACTTGCAAGAGTTTTCCATGATATTTTTCCATTTCTATGAGTCCAAACATAATCAGCACTTGCAAGAGATCGTCTTTCTCTCACTTTCTCGACACACATTAGTTTGAATTGGAAACGACCTTACTTGTTCTTTATCTGTGAAAAAACTGGCGTCAACCGTGTTGGGGTCTTCCAGTTCCCCGTTCGTCAGCTTTCGACCTCCGCTATCTCTCAGAAATTCTTATATAATATTCTGGATATATTACGAGTATAATATGGACGTTTATGCAAAGTCGTAGGAATGGAGAATATAAAAACAAGAGTACAAGTTAGTTTTCCCTACTATCCATGAGTTCACCTGCCCCTCCCACTTGTTGCCACGAATCTAAACGTCACTACTACGTATTTTGTAACTTAAGTTATTTCAGTTCATCTGACTCAATATACGTAATCGTCAATATGCCCTTTCTCTGGAGTTGAAGCTTCGACCTGTGACTCTTTGGTAGAACATGCTGTAACGTACGTTTTTGTACTTCCCCGAGCCTGGCAACATTATTAGTCGACGTCTACGACTACGCCAAAGAATTGCCTGGAATGGCCGCAACTGCGACCGAGCGGCACTGTGATCGGAGAGAGCTCTACCGTTATTTCCAGCAACTCGAGTCTGCGGTGGCGCGCGCCGTATTTTGAAAAATACGGGGTGGCAGTAGCCCTTCTCGTGACACGTTTTTATCTTTTACACAAACGGGAAGTTACCCTACAGGAAGAACCGACATTTTCTAAATGAAGTATTGTCTCTTGACAGTAAAAAGTTACATTACTTGGTTTTGTGTTAGTTAGAGGTAAAATTATTTATAACACGGCCGCCAGATGAATTGTATTGGTTTGTTTATATATTTGTTACAATTACAGCCAAAAAGTGAATAGTAGATTTTGAACTATGTTTTGAAACAAACCATACTGTAGATGCGAATCAAGATGCTTTCTTTTAAAAAAAAGATTTGCGTTGCCAACTTTAGCAGACGCTTGCGACGGCAGCTTGGAAGAGGATCTGAAGGAGACGCCTCGCCCTCACTTCTTTCGTCAACAGAACATTTCCTGTTTCAGGAATTGCATTGGGCATTTGTTCATTCGAAGGAGAATTACACACTTTAAAACTAAAAACATCGCATTAATATCTTCTGATTAAAAAAAATTTTTAGGGTAAATTTATAAAAAAAAATAATTTTACAGATACAAACATCTAAGGTCGGATTAAAAAATTGTCTAAGGGGCGAGGATATTACATTTTTCTTATTTTGTACTACAAAACATTGACAAAATCATAACTTAATGGTTTATGGTAAAATTAAAAATGAATGGCATTAGTTATATAAAATATACAAAATATATGCAAAATGTACGTCAATTTTAAAACATACAATGACCAATTAATCCAAATGTTGCACAAATTTTGTGTGAATCTATTTATTTGGAATTGGACAGTACTGTGAATAAAAATAACATGATGGTATATAATAAAATGAAATAAAATAATTAAATATTCACAGTCGATTTTCAGTTCTCAAATTTATTCCAAAATGATAAATTTATCACTATTTTTTTCTTCCTAAAGTCGAATAAAATCATATATAAATTCCCCGCCACTAAAAATAACTCAAGTGGGAGGGTCATGGCCCCCATGCCCCCTTACTCCACCCCCGTGGATCCGCCGCTGCGAACACCTGAAAAAAAATTAAAAAAAGGTGAGTTGGGAGAGGGCGAACGGGGAGAAGGCGGTTGCGCCCTCATTAAAATGGCCGCCAGGTCGCGCAGGCAGAAAAGTGCGATGTCGGCGTCGTTTATGCAAATGGCGGCCGCCCGCAGGCCCCGCCCTGCCCGTGTTGCGCGCCGGGCCGGGCCGGCCCCCCTGAGACCACGAGGCGACTGACACAACCGCCTCGCCCACTGACCACGCAGTCGTGCTCAGCACGACGCCCACCTCCCGGCGCTTCCACGGCCTCTGCGAAATTCTGCTTTTTTTTTGTTTTTGTACCTTTTCCGCTCTAGTTATAACTATTTCCGAGAGGCGTTTCCTTGGTTACTGAGCTTGGTTCAACTCCATTCCACCGAAAAGAAATTGAATACAACGCATTCGTGCATCAAAAAGAAATTGTATACGTGCAGTGAATGTTTGGTCTACGGATCAGATATTCACTGAAAAAATCGACTTAAAATAAACCGTGAATACAAATAGTTTAACATATCGAAATGTCTTTATTTAATTGGCTGTCCGTGTGACGCCGCGTCCATGGCAAAGGTGCCGACGTTTCGATCGCCATTCTGCGGCCTTCCTCAGGGCGTAATGCCAAGGTTGCAGAATTTGAAAGTTCACCCGGACAGCCAATTAAATACTGACTCCGGCCGCGGAAGCCTACGCTCTCACATATCCAAATGTCTCCCGGTCAGAGGCGCTGCAGGGACACTGTGCCACCTCTCCCGATCCCAAAACACTGAAACAGAGTAGATTTTCACTAAAAATTGGAAATATTGGCTATGTCATTCCGCCCGCGTTCATTCTGTGCGCACATACCTGTGAATTCTCCCAATGGGCGCGTCTCTACTTGTGAAACAGCCGGTGGCATGCAATCGGAGGCTCCGAAAGAGAGCCTGTCTCTAATAAATATTTGCAATGCGCTTGTTGCCTCATGGAATAGCAACTTTTTTGATGTTCTTTGTAATGTGTAAATAACTATTGCACTGAATTCTATGTTAATGGTTTTGCTAAAGTCTGATATGTTAAAATATTTAATTTGTGTAGTGTTGTAGTAAAGCGTTTTATTTCTTATTCGTAAACAGTATATGTGTGTGTTCTACTTTTTGGTAAACAATTTAGTGTAGTTTCCTTCAGCAGAATTTTTGTCTCTGCAATTAAATGTTAAACTGTGTGTGTGTGTGTGTGTCCGTGCTGCTTTTGTGTAAACAACTTTGTGTGGTTTTCTTCATCAGAATTTTTGTACCTGCAATTAAATGTTAAACTAATGTAATTGAAAAAGAAGAAAGAATAATATGAATAAAACTTTTCTTGTTAGTACAGGGCGTCAGGAAAGTCTACGCAGTCGCATCTTGCCTGCGAGAGAGCTTGCAACATCAATTATGTGTGCAGCACGAGCTGCTGCGTAAAAACTTCAATTGCACACTCGCCGCAATCGAAAATAGAAGCGCGAAGTGTGCTCACCTTCACTTTTTTCCCAGTGATCCGATTGCAACCAACACAAATGCAATTTTTAATACGAGGCCGTGATTCGGCTCAGTTAGGAGAGACTTTCCTGGCACACTGTAGTTTGTGTGCAAAATTATTTAATCAAGAAAAATACTTGTATAATAATAATAATAATAATAATAATAATAATAATAATAATAATGTTGTCTATTTGTGGTGAGGGTTAGTCCCTCAGACCTGCTGTTTCGCCTAACTTCTTTATTTCAAAGATTAAAGATTTTGAAAATTAAGTACATTAAGTGAATTAATTTGCAATTAAGTGGGAAAAGCCAAAATTTGACGTTGAGAGTTGTGAGAAAATAAACAGTAATGGTTTTAGACAAACGTTCAATTTATTGAATTGCATTACTCCGGATCCCGAAAAATATTTGCGCGTTCAACTACGAGCAAAAGACAGGCTACTCCCAGTATCTTTCCAATTATCTTGAGCCACGATAGAGAAACGTACGTACAATTTCTTCTGAGGTTTTCTCTTAGCGAATCAAGAACCACTTTGGAGGTACAACGGTTGCGTCACAAATTTAACACATGATCGGAACTTTAAGCATTGTGACACTAAGATACTCGGCACTAAGATATCTCCAAAACCGTTTCATATGTTACATGTGGTTTTCGTTAAAACGAATGTACAAGTGACAGAACAGGAATATTATTGTATAACTATTTTTTGCAGATATTTCCACACAATTTTTATTTTTTGACCTAGAACATAACAGATTTTTAGCCACATACTGATGAGTTTGTAAAACCGAATATTCGCATGTTGTGTAAAGGCACTGATGAAGTGCATCGCATCGAACTGAGTGTGAGGTAGGTTGACAAGGGCAGCGCTGTGTGTTGCAGGGGCGTGACGCTGGTGGCGCCGGCGGTGGCCGCGCCGGGGCGCACCACCGCCGTGCTGGTGTCGCTGCGCGGCGCCGCCGCCCCCGTCAACGTGTCGCTGCGCCTCGTCTCCGACCGCGTGGAGGAGGCCACGCAGCTGCTGGCCTCCGCGCAGCACACCGTGCGCGGTACGTCACGCTCGCTCGGTTATTCTTACCTCTCTAAGGGCGATGGACTTCCCTATCTGTCGGAGCAGATTGGTTATTCACAAGCTGCTACTTGTAGTACGATTTCTTAAAACTATGCACCTGAACCCCCTCTTCAGATTGGTATTATCACTGCATTTCGTGTCTTCCTTTTCCGTGGCATTAAATGTCACATGATCGCAACTCTATCAACCACTACTTGGTACGGTTGCGACATCTAGCAGCACGACCCAGAAAAACACGAAATGCAGTAACATAATGCCAATGAGGAGACGGGGCTCAGGTGCACAGTTAAAAAAAGTCGCAATATATTTTCCCTATACAGTATTTGAGTAAAACTCCGAGTGCGCGTATGTTCGAATGCTCGAATGTGCGATCCACCACTCACGGCTAGACTACTTCCTGTGCACCAATCGAGACATATAAGGTGGCATGTGACGCGTCTCCATCTCCTATCGGGGAACTGATAATTTGTTTTCTGATCCGGTCAGAAGATTCCAATAAATTTTCAAAAATGTGTTTTTTCGTGTTTTACAGCTGCAATCTTAGTTATAATGCCCGGAATTTAACCAACACTTCCTAAGTAGGTCTATGTAGGTGGCGTTGATTAAACTTCAGTATTCAATGGCATTTTTCGCCCAATATGCCATAATTTTCTTTCACGATGTTGGCAACACTGATGTGTTGATATCTTCAAGTGAAGAATTGAATTATCAAGAGAATTGCGCTGCAGATTTTAGTTTTGATTCGAATTATCTTATTTCTTAAAATATGTTTGCGAAAGCCTGCAAACAGTATCGTCTCGGAATTTATTGAACTTGAACTTAAAGTGAATACAGAGAAAACAAAACTGTGAGCAATGGTAGAGAATGAATGAACTTTCGTATGTTCGACTAACTTTTACGATCTTCCGTTAGTGTGCAAATGTCGATTTTCAAATTAATGTTATCAACAACTTATTCTTTTAACTAACGTTTAATATAACTAACACCTGATTCACTTAAACATACAAAACAGTCGCCTTGTATTGTTAGATTCGCATGCAACACTAGATTCGCATACAAAACCATTAATAGAGCAATTGTAGAAGTAGAAGTGAATACTAATTAAACTGACTTTGTAAAATTTTAATATCTTCAAAATTTTGGGAAGAAAAATATGAAAGTGTTAAGGAAATCCAAGGAATAATTAAATGTAGTAGGAATAATCAAAAGAAGGAGATATTGATATTACAACTCTTCATAAAGTAAGTTATCTTACGAAATAAGCAATTGTATCGGAGGATATCAACCTGGCACGTCCGTGGTACTTCCCATTAAATGAACGCATTTCGTACAGAAAATAATGATGGAAGAAACGTTTCTGTTGATGATTATATAGCAATTATTATGTCATTAGAAACTTTGTTTTATTTATTGTATTAATACACAGAATTTTCAGATTATTGCTACTTTGGCGTATTCAGTGCTTTCAAACGTGTCGAGTTGTGCGATTTGTATGTCGATGATGTGAAAGATAAAGGTTCCGTTTTGATAGTAAACAGTAGAGTAACGAAAACAGACAAGCCGAGAATCTATGCTATTGTATCCTGTGAAGAATTTAATTACGTGGGACTTCCCAAAACAACATTTCATTAAGTCCTTCACATGTTAAACACAATAAACTATTTTTGTTTTACATTCGTGTGGAATGCAGCTGTAATCCAGTTGTAAACAATTCATTTGCGAGAATTCCAAAAAATTTAACAAATTATTTTAAACTACCTCGCACAAAAAATTACTCTGGTCTTTTTAGAAGTACATTCGGGGCGTTTCTCCCCGATAATGGAGGTATTACTGCATTTAAATGACATGGAGGGCAGCGATCTAAAATAGTAAATAAAGTAATAAAAGCTAAAATAATGAATTCTATATTGTTTAGTGCAGATATTAATTCAGCAAAACAGGAACAATGGAATTAAATTATTCATCTGGAGTGTCTTTCACAAATTTAAATAATTTTAATTTTAACATTCGTATCCATAAAATAAATTATATGTTATTATTGTTGCATATACCAAAAGAAAAGTCACAAATACTTTTAAAACCGTACCTACGTAAATCAATTAACAATTTTATAAAAGGGAATATTTTTTGTTTGATTGCAAACACTGCAATACATTTACACGATACCACATCCTTTTTTATGCTCTGTAGGTAGATGGTGAAAGTAGGCTGACTATGACGTAAGCGATTACTCATATTTCGAATAGTAATAACACAATGAAATGAAATAATTCATGAAATAATGAAATGATTCGTGAAATAATTCATTTTTTTCGAGTCGTGAATTCCAAAGACACTTTAAATTTGTCGAAATAACCTGACAAACCGATATAACTCGAAAAATACGCATCGTATCAAAGAAGTGTCCAGACAAAAAAAGTTTCTCAAGAGAATGTTAAAGCAAGAATCGTTTGTGGGATCGCATGTGGGAACGTTAAGGGAGACGTTTGTGCAAAAGCTGATGGTGTCTTTTTTTGCAAACGTTTGTGGAAACATATGAGGGAATATTTGAGGGTACATTGGAAGAACATTTTAGAAACTTGTGGAAACCTATAATAAACGTGGGGAAACCTTCGAAATTATCTAAAAAAATTATTATGTAGGTACATGTAGTGATATATGCCAAATCATGTGAATATGCGAGGGAAAATGTACATATTTTACAATGTACTAATCAAATAATTCTTTTTTGTTATTTAAGGTCGTATTAATACCCAGGTTGTTAGCGACCACTATAGCATTTAACGGTAAGATAACTGAAGATGACATGATATGATGATGATAGGGGGTGAATCCCTAAGGTGGGATTTGAACCCGCGATCCTTGTGTCCGAGATCACTATGGCCGTAATGGGCTCGACCATCCGGACCGGGTAATACTTTAATTACGTCTTATCTCTGTACTTAATCTAATCATGTACACTTTCTAACCTTTTAACACTTTTTATAGCTTGAGGCGGTTCTTTCAGTCTTGTTCCCATGTACACTGACGCGGGTGGCATGCCACTTTTGGGCGTACGTGCTTCACTGACCACAGACGCCTCCCCCCACACACACGCGCTCACGCCCCGCCGTTGTTCCCCTCGCTTTGACCGCGCCTGCAGCGGCCTCTAACGGCCCCTCCCTTCCCGCCGAGCGTAGGCCCATTGTACAGGTGTTTTCGCCCGCCTGGACTCAAAGGGAAGGAGGACATCCCGGGCGGTGCGGTGGAAACAGCATGCAGAGCTCCCGTAAATAGCCTTGGCAACAATGCGCTCTGGCAGCTGCCGCGTTTTGTCGCCGGCGGTAAACGTACGGAGCTCGCTTCGCACCTTCGCCCAGGGCGGGCAGGAATAGGACGGGGAGGAAGCTGGCGCAGGATTGCCACATTAGGAAGTTTTATCCACCAAATGGAGGATTTTTTTCCGCTGCGGGGAAAGAACTGGGAACATAAATGGACGGGGAAATGTTTGGCAATTTTTTTGTAGGAATTATTTTTATTTGGAGTAGAGATACAAATAATATTTTTTTTAATTATTAAGAATAAAAATTAAACAATTGACATTCTTCTTTCTCATTTTTATGTGTCAAAAAGACGCAAGTGAAAGGCAGGCATAGAGAAAGAAAAATATGAGAACGATGATTGGTTGACTTGAAGTATTAGAATTTAAAGGGACAGAGAATGGAATCGTCAGGGACAGCTCATGTCGTTGGTCTTTAATTAGGAGAAAACTTTTTTCGTTTCAAAATTGGGAAAGTATGCTGCGTTGGAGAGGTAATTCGATGGAATTCCGTAAAAGCGATGGGGAAAGGTCTTGCAACATGTCTGGCAACCCTGAGCCGACCTCCCAGAAGTGAAAGTGTTTTGCCGCCTCGTAATAGCGCCCGTCGATGTTGCCCGGCAATGCTACGCAGTCCGAGAGGTCAACGCCCACCGCCCGATGGTTCTTCGACTCGCGCCAGGTGCGGTTGGTTCCGCCCCTCCCCCCGCGTCTGCCCGGTCTTCAAAGAGCGCCGCCCGCCCACTGACGACTGCGGTTGCTTTAACATGCTCCTGCTGTAGAATGCGACAGCTCTCGGAATGGATGCGGCACTACGCACCATAGGGACGATCGTTTTGTGGGCTGGAAGGGGGGGGGGAGGTTGTCGGCATGCTTGTAGCTGCTCGTCTCCAGGCCGCCGGGGCTGGTGATTTAGCAGTCGGGAAGAAAGCTGAACGAGTGAATGTGTAAATAGGTGGCTTCTTATTCAGTGCCGACCGCAAAAAGAAAGTTGATTCTTTAGCAACCCCTTCAAGTGCCTCCAAGAGGATACCTTCCTGCAGCAGTGTACACTCCTGAAATAGGCGGTGAAGGTAGCGAGCCAGCAGGAAGTTATCTTCCAATACGACTACTCTGGTAATGCCCAACAGGTTCCGCACACCGGGCAGGAAGAGGTGATGTCATGTCACTGACTCTGACCGGGAGGTTGTAGGGTTCTGCCCCAATGGTCTTCCCGCTGGGGGATTTCCCGCTTGTGGGAGGTACCTGCTTGAAGTAAACATCCGCTAGCCGACGGTAGGTCGGAACCAGATATCGTCAACTAGCGGGTGAAAAACCTCCTTCTGATGAAAAACATGCTCTACACATACGGGATTAATTAGCCGTTGATGCGCACGAAATCACTAATCCTAATCAATCGGCTAACCGGCGCCCGGTTACGTATGGCCACACGCCCCGGCGCCCGTGCCCGTCGAGGCGCTCTTGGCGAGGACGACGGACAGCCAGGCGCCTCGCCAAGCCGTCTCCGGGCCACTCACGCCGCCAGTTGCAGATGGCGGGGACGCAGCCGCGCGTGGCCGCTCGGCCCGTCGGCTGCCCCTGGCGAGCCCGCTGTATCGGTATGTATTACGGGTTGCGTGCGCGCCAGGGGCGCCCTAGCGGTCCGCAGGCGGAATGGCAGACAGCGCCCCCCTCCGCGCCGCCTCGGGCGTTGACTGCCACGAAGGTGTGCCACCCACCCGAAAAGCCAGCGGTCGTGGCTCGTTGTGCCGCCGAGGAGGCCAGTGCACGGTTGTTGCGGGCTCTGCACAGCGTAACCTCCGCGTGCCATTGATTAGTGATTCCGGACGCATCGATTGCTTAAGTCACACATTCTGTAATTGTAGGGCGTGTTTTTCTCTTAGAAGATGACAGTGATCTACCCATCTGTATGGAGAGATTTGGTGCCGACCTATGGTCGGCTAGCACCGTCCCAAAATATTCCACCAGCGGGGCACCGCCTCAGACGGAACAAGCTGTAAGCTGTCGCCCTGTCTCCCGGCATGTGTGATAGTGTAGTACATGTTAGTGTAAGTGTGTGCAAATGACGAGGATATGACAAGAAAGAGGAAAGAAATATCGCGCGCGGACCATGGCAGGTTTGATAGAAAACTACTGCGGCACATGGTATTGATCGGAGAAACCACGGAAAACTGTCAGAAGAGTCGCGCGGTAAAATTCTCCTGCATACAGCGATATAATTTGATCCAGCTATGTAGCTAGTGTCGAAAATACGAATTGAGACTTGAACCTAAGATATCCTGGTCACAGGCATTTCAGTGTCATCAATCGATGCCCTGAGGGAGAGGCCTACCTCTGTCTGCCAAGTGAGCATTGAAAGTGTATCGGTGAAGGTTAATCATCCTTTACTCAAACCTACTTTTCACATCTACTTTAAAACAGTTGTAGACCTTTGAAATAATACTACGAAATTTTGTTCGCAAAGTAGCCCCAAACTTCTTCTTTCACCTCGTTCTCGTCTGAAGCTCTTCTTCCACAAATGCTCCTCAGTAGCTAATGTTCGCTCGCCGGCGTCCAGGAGTCTGGAATCTGCGGTCGCGTCCAGCAGCCTGGTGCCTCCCTCGTCCCCGGCGGCCTATAAGAAGAGTCGACGTAGGGCGAGAGGGACAGGATCTTCCGGGGTCTAGCGCGGATCGCAAGGCGGTCATGGGCTCAGCATTATTTGTGCATGTGGAGCGGACACGCCGTGGCGGGTTGCGCGAACTGGCTCTGTTTTATGTGGTCGTGCAGATACGACGCGCCACGTCGTCCAGGATGCGGACCGGGGGAGGTGTCTCAGGGCATCAAATAATGTCTCTGCCAAGCCTCTAACCGGGGGTAACTACTGTTCGAGTCCCGACGGTGTGGGAGGGTTTTCGATACGAGTTTATCAGGTTGAATTCAGTTGCTGTCTGGAGAAGAATTCTAGCGGCCGCCTCCTCTGATTCGACGTTTTCTGTGGTTTCTCCGATCAACACCAGGCGAATGCCGAAGCAGTACTCTATCAAACGGGCCAAGGACCGCTCGTTATATTTCCTTCCCATTCCTCATTTTTTGCTCTCACCTCGTACATACACACACACTTACACGCACTTCACTTACACACATACCGGGAGACCGGTCGAGAGCTCAGAACTTGTTCCGGATGGGGCGGTGCCTCGCTGGTGGGGGAAACCCGTTAGCCGACGGGTAGGTCGTCGCCGGGTCTCACTAGCGAAGTCCACACGCATCTTTAACCCACTAGCGAAGAAAGGAGGTATTACTTGGGTGACTAAACAGGGGATTTGAATTTAGCTCAGAGGCGTCATTTAGGCTT